TGTAAAAATTTATCTAGTTTAAAATAAAAGTATAAATATATATTTAATTAAACATAGTAAAAAATAATAATTTATTTGAGTTTTTTTAAATTGTGAAGGGATTTTTATAAGTATTATATAAAAAATATATTAAAAAGATTTTTATAAGATAAGAATAGCGCAAACTTGATTTTTATAAGATAAGAAAAGTCTTGAAATTTATTTGTATACCAAATAATCCTGTTCAATCAATTATTCAATTATGGATCTCTTTCAAAATTTCATTAGTTAGGCTTATTGTTATCTTTTAATCATTCATCTCCTAACTCACTCTTATATATATATCAACCACTACCAAATCCATATTACTTATTGGTTGATAATGACCTGCAGCTTGTGGTAGCTAGAAAGCACGCTAACTTTTGTTCTGAAATAGGAAATCTTATACGTTACATACAACATATGCGACAATAATCTTATATTCTAAATAATAATAATTATGTGTACCAAATCTATTTTGAAACAAGCGAATTGAATTTTCCAATTTTTTTAGACCAAGATATTTATCAAATCTTTTAAAATTCCTATGAGCTTTTAATTTGTTATCATAATACAATAAAAGACCAAATCTTCCAAACCCACTATCAATTTATTTTGTTTGTAAAACTTGTTAAAATCAAAATTATAAATATATATAAATCACTTTTCCTATAGGGCTCTTGAATCATTATTTATTTCTGCATAATAACTACATTTATCAATATAACTATCTGTAGAATAACTCAAATCTAAAGTCATTTCTCAAGTACTTATTTCGGCATCAAGCGCACGAAAATTTTCACTTTGTCTAATGCTCTTCCAGGCAAGAGGAAAAAGATTTACCTCCAATGTCTGGAAAGAGAATATGTTTGAAGCACTACTCCACGGAAAGTTTATAGATAAAGCTTTGGCTATTAGTTCCACATTAAACCTGTAATTTGAAACAAAATCAACATAGTGGTGTTGAAGATTTTGAACCTTGCTTGAATAAACTCGATCTTGTTGAAGGTTGATCGAGTTTGTTTTCGGTTGATTATCTACCATTGGTTTATCTAATAGCCATTGGTTATCTTGCATCGCATTTGTTGAAGTTGAAGGTTGAAGATTTTGAAACAAAATCTCCATTGGTTATCTACCAATTCAGGTGTACTGCCTATCTAACACTACTTTTGATGAAGCAACATAGGCCTATACCCCCTAATTCCCCTGCCTCCTGGAATCAATTTTCCTTTAGGTCCACTGGTTATCTACCAATTCACTAAAGCAAGGACAACGGATTAGCTGGTCTATATTTGAACCTTGCTTCATCTTCCATGTTCTTCCCAAATTAACCACAAAAAAAAAAGGTGTGTCCAAATTGTTTAAAATGGATTGAGAATCAAAAGTTTTTCCTAGTTCCCATGATTTAACACTAGTACAAATTAAAGCAGGTGGCTAATCCAGGAAAGTTAATACTTAACATGAGCCCAATATGCAACCTTATCCAGTAGATCAATCAAGGGCCAATATTTCTCAACCTAAGTCGACATTATTTTTTTGGAAGATTATCATCCTGCTTTCATTATAAGGAAGGAATGAAATAATCCCTTCCATCAAGAGGAACCATTACAAACAGACCCACCCTCCCTACAGAATGTTGGGTGATGCACCCACTTCTTCCAGGCAAGTAGATCACTCCAACATCCCTTTACGACATTTATTGTCTATCAGTTGAAGTCGTCGATTCATTCATAAGGGACATTATAATCGTTTATCGAATTATTTCCATATCTGCAGATCAATGGAAGCAACATTAATGCTGCTGGAGTACGCTACAAATAATAAGGAATTTTATCTTGTAGTGGAGTTTAACTCGGCCGTACTCAGTATCCAACCAAACATGAATCCAGAACTCAGTCCATTTAATGTCATAAATGTACCAAATAGGACACTGCCAAGCTTCCCATACATAATGTCATAATTTAACATATTAAAAGCTAGACTGGCTTTCCAGAAAAAGGAAAAGCCAGACTGACCATTACCTATATATAATATCCTCGTAAAAATCAGTATCTTATCTTTTCCTAGGATAAATATGGGCCTGCAATGGAGTCTTCATCCCCACTGTGAACTCCTGCATCTCCTCCAAGCTCACCTCATCTCCATCAATAGCCTTCCATTCGAGGTTCCAAACCAGATTTGCCACAAAATACTCCAGATGAAGCATGGCCAAGCCGAGTCCAGGACAAATCCTCCTCCCTACCCCAAACGGCATCATCTTGATTTCCCTACTTCCTGTTATATCAAAGACTTCCCCACTTTTATTGCCATAGCTAAGGAACCTTTCAGGCTTAAATGACATTGGATCCTCCCATACTTTCGGATCCCACCCCATTTCTGCTACCAGGAAATTAATGGTAGCATTCTTGGGTACCGAAAATCCTCCGAGGACTGTGTCTTCTCTGACACTATGAGGCAGAACAAAGTGGCCTGGTGGGTGCCTTCGTAGCCCTTCCAAGATCACTGCCTTCAAGTAAGGCATCTTCTGTAAATCATCTTCCTTGACCTCTTCCTCTCCATCTCCCACAACCCCTTTGATCTCCGTGAATAGCTTCTCTTGGACATATGGATACTTCACCATGTTTGCCATAATCCACTGCAAAGCAGTGGAGGTAGTATCTGTTCCAGCATTGAGAAACTCAGAGGTCAAAGTGACGATTTCCTGTTCAGTAAGATCCCTTTGTCCCTCCGGTAGTTGAAGATCAAGCAAAGTATCAACATACGCCAAAAGATACTCGTCATCATCAGCTTCCTCTTTGTCCTCTTTACTCTTGCTCAATCTCTCCTCTTTCACTTTCTTTCTTGCCCTTATCAAAGGAACCAACACCTTCTCTTGAACCTCGAGGGCCTGACAGAACTCCTTCCAGCGTTTATAAAGCAAAAACCTTGTCAAGTTCGGCCAGAAATTGAGTAGGTTGAATCTTCCTCCCACGCCTATTAGCAAATGGCGCTGAATATTCTCAATCTCTTTAATTTGTTCTTGACTAAGCTTGTCACCGAAACACATCAGCACCAATAAGCAGAACATAGCATATTGAAAATGATCAACAGCACGAACTGGTTCTCCAGTTTTAGAGTGTGAGATTAAGGATTCTAACAAGATTTGAAGAACCCATTTCCGAGCATGGGAGTAGGATTTTATACGCGAAGGATGGAGGATTTGAGCTGTGAGGTTACGCCTCAAAAGTCTCCAAGTTGGACCATAGGGAGCAGAGCTGATATTATGTTGATTACAGCTTATAATCTTGGTTATGGCAGGAGCTTCGGGGCGGTTGGCAAACAAAGCACCGTTTTGAATTAACGCCTGGTGGGCGAGAGAGCGATCGGAGACGAAAATAGCAGGCCGAGAAAGGATGTTGAGAGTGACCATCGGACCAAGCTTGTTATGGAGGTTCCGGAGGATTGGTTCCAGGTCGGAAAAGGTTCTCCTGAGCCATGAAATGTCGCTGATAATGGGAACGTTGGCAGGGCCTGGAGGGAGTGTTTGGGAAGGGTTCTCGGAATGGGATGAAAGAAGGTTAATGAGAGCTCTAAAGAGAAGAGAAATGGAGATGGTGACGATAATGATGAACCAGGTTTCCATGTTGCTTTGTGTTGAGCGAGAGTTGTGTGGTGGATAAAAGAGGATATAAGGGAGCGGCGAGTATTTGTTGTTTGAGTTTGTTGGCAAAAGCTTGAATTCATGTAACGAGGTCAAGAGAGATACGAAATGTCTACCACTGTGCTTTTAATTGGAAGATGATAGATTGATAGAATGGCTAACTTTTTTTGTGGCGGTAGACTAGAGTGAGCCTCTAGATATTTTGTCTGAGACATCAGCGGGATGCTACTGATTGCTCACAATAATTCAGCTTCAACTGTATTTTAAATGCTTACCACGGTTTCAGTTTTGAATCTATCTTGGTACCAATTCAAGAGTCACAAGTCCTTCTCTTATCTTAATCGAGGCTTATCTTAATTCTTAATATCTCTTCTAAAACGTCTATTCAATGAAGAATATTGAATAAATTTTGATATAACATTAGGCCAATTTGCATTTTCATTTGAAAAAATACGTTCGTTTATTACATGAAGAAAGATTTTCAAGACTTATTTCATCATTTATTAATGTGGAATCTATGGAGTGTATAATGTTATCAAAAATTATATAATTTTAATAAATTTTTGTTTTTTATATAGTAAATACACAAGTTGCTAGTTATTTAATATATTATAGGGATACGTTTTCATCTTAATTTGTAACGAGAAAATAATTTTAATATACAGCTTGCTTTATATTTTAAATATATAATTTTAATTCAATAACACTTTTTTTTAAAAAATTACATGAATAACTCATTACTTATAATTAATAGAAATCTTTAAAAAATATAAAATTGATAACAAATCTCATATATATATAAATTGATAGTATGTTGTCTTTTTGTTAATAATAAATGTATACATTCCATTTTATATTTCATTTTACCGATAGTTGCATACTCGCACAGTGTACAAGTTTATGTAAAATAATTATACGATAACTTAGTATGAGTTTGTTTTATTTATATAATCATATACGTATTAATATTGCACACCTTTATAAAGTTCATCATCCATTCAAACATACAAACACTTGTATATAATTTAAGGAGAAAAAGAAAATGATGAAGTAATATTTGAAAAAAATCATAATCTTTGATATTTCATTATTTTGGTAATTAGGTCAATTATACCAAAAACTTTACAAACATAAGACATAAAATCGATACAAATTGAAGGATTCCATTAAACAATCTTTAGAAATATATATAATTTATATGTTATATTCACAACTCAAAATTCCAACACAATTAAATAGGATATTACTATTAATTTCATTCAATATAACAAATTAATTAATAAATAAGAAAATTGTCATACTAATATTCTAAACTATCAATTTTGATGGAATGGGGCTCAAAATTGAAGGCCTGAACTGGTAACCGGGCTCATAACCAGGGTTAACTCCTAGCTTAGCTATGCCGTTAGGCCCATGGAAAGCAACCAGAAGACGAGGGCCCAGCCCGAGAAATCAACATTGGAATGCAGAATTTGGTAAATACCGGAACCCAAAAAGCAATTCGGAGGAACAAAATTTTGAATTTTGAATTTAAACAGAAGCTTTGGGGAGGAGAAGGCGAATCAAGCATGGCAACCACTTCCAAGAACATGAAGGGTTTCTACAGGCAAAAGAAGAACAACAGTAGGGGAGGCATAACGAAATCGAAATCCTCCAAATCAACCAAAAACCCGTCGCCCAAACACGCCGGTTCCGATATCACCCAGCCCCTCGCCCTTGCTTCTCCCGGCGGTTCCCTCGATCTCAAAGGTCACTCTCTTTTCCCTTTTTCTTTTATAAAAAAATAAATACTATTATATTTCTTTACTTACTTTTATTGGTTTTTTGGGAGGAAGTAGATGATTTTGATGAGCAAGAGGAAGTGTTAAGGCAATTTGATATGAACATGGCATATGGACCGTGCCTTGGGATAACGCGGATGGCTCGTTGGGAAAGAGCTCAAAGGTTGGGGCTAAACCCTCCTAAAGAAATTGAGAATCTCTTGAAAGGTGGGAAAGTGAAGTTAGAATCCTTATTTGATGGTCGTGTTTAGTTAATTGTTTCTAATGTTTTTAGGGTGAAACGTACAGCCTCTAGCTGTACTTTTAGTTTGGTGTTCGGTGTTCTTACTGTTGTAATGAACTGGAGAAAGTTTGGTAGTTTTAACGGAGACGTTATGCGATGACTGATTTGGTGTTTAATGTTGTGTTATGATTAACACTGGATCTAACAAGGTGATCTCTTTTATAGAGTAATTAGCTTGCTCCTAGCTGATTTTGGCCTTTAAAAGAGTTGAAGGGAAAGGGTTGCATATGTTGGGTTATTTTACCTTTGAATTTCTTTCACTAACTAATCTGGCTGCTACTTGTGTTCAAAAATATGTCTTGTTTAGCAGCATCAAATATTCAAGTTATAGCAGTACACAGCATCAAAGCTTATAGGAACTTTGAACAACTCTGGGAAATTCTAGTCGTTTGTTGATCCAATTAAAGCCATAAGAGTAATAGTTGCTTATACTATCAACACATTAAAGTTTATCAAGCTTTAATCTATCATGTAGTCTTAGGGTTAAGTAACATGGAGTATGATTGTAGAATATATGCCCAATTCCAAATAGCGGGTACATGAAATTTCACTGGTCAATGCATATGATGAACCACATTGTACAATCCTGTTAAGCCATCTTATGAGCAATGGGAAGATCGTAAAGTTACTTGTGTGCCTATTTGGTGCTAGTGCTACTGATTCATTTTGTTTATATACTGTTACATACTTGATCACACATCAGTTATCAGAGTATTAGGTATCCACATATTGCCTTTAAATAAGTAAGAAATGGAAGAGAGAAAAGGAAAGGTAAAAGGAGCAATTCTATCATCTAAATTTTATGAATATGTGAGTGGAATTCCAATTTAATTCCTTATTAAAGGGAAGATGCAGCACCACATATTACTACCATTTGGTTTGAGCTTGACAAGCAACTTAAATTGAAAAAAGATAATTTTTCTCCTCCGGACCTGTTCGTGGCAAGAGTTTCTATGCTAATAGACAACATATTAGGGTTTTCAAAAAAATTATGACACAACTCAAAGCAAACAGTTAAGTAAAGACTGGAAAGTTCGATTTAAATCGTGCTTGGTTTAATTTGCCATAGAAACACAAGAACCCCAGCTACATTTTCCATCTGAAATCATGGAAGCAGAAACGATTATCTCACATACATAACTTGCCACTAAAACACCTCTTTCATCTGTAAAAATGTTAAAATCTGATACTGTTGTGCACTTGCAATAACAAATCCAAAGACATCATCACTATGAAGGACCTAAAACTACATCTGATTCTTCTTATTAGGTCATGTTCATTAATATATATCTAATGACATAAAACATATAAAAGAAATAGCAAAGTAAACAACTAAAGAAAAAAGCAATACTGTTTCTGATAACTTTTCTAAAGCTGCTCCTCCCAATTTAGCATTTAACACCATATTTTGAAAACACCAATACTACTTACTCCGTCCTGGTTTTGGATTTCACATCATCAGGTATCCATGATGACCAAAATAGTGGCAGAAGGGTACAAACTGCCTGTATTAGGAGGCCAAGAGGAAATCCAGAAAAATCATTTCCTGTGACCATGTAGGATGCCAATGCGACACCAAGGTATCCACTCACTATGAATGCAAGGGCAACAGCTGACATGACAAATGCCATTAGAGACCCTTCACATCCTGGAGGGCAGAGTTGTGCTATTAGAACACTAAATGGCAGAATCTTGAAGAAGAAGAGAACCTCTAAGACACCTGAGAAAACTACAACATAAACCGAGTCTGGCACCCCCATCTGTTGATAAATTCCTTTCACAAACAACACATCTGAAATCATGAATACTGCCATTGTTACCTGAATGGCTTCAATCAGTTTCCTTGGTCGGACTGCCTTTAAGTGACGATTGTAGATGACACCCCATAACAGCATTACTGCCTGCCCAAACACCTTAGAAATTCCCAATGCAGAGGCATCAATCTTCAAATATTGTGTTTGGTAAAAGAACATGGCTCCTGTCAGTGCTGGAATTATGGCATAGGATGCAGCAAACCAGGTTATTGAATAAGCTATCTCAGGTTTTTGCAATGCAGCTAAGAGCTCTGAAAGCTGCTTCTTAATCCCAACATTTGATGGACTTTTTGGAAGATTAAGAGAGCGTTCAGGAACTGAGACAGTTATGACAAACTGGAGAGCAAGGAGACTTCCACAGAAGAGGAACATTGATTGGGGGGAAAATCTGTCAATGGCAATGCCACCTAACAGGTTTCCAAGGACTCCACCAACAGAGGAAGCCATCCAAACAAATGACTGGAGCTCACCTGAGGAAGCTGATTGAGACTTTTTGGAAGAAGTCTGTGTTTTTCCCGTTTCCACAACAATGGCATCATTAGCAACCTCAGCTATTGAAGCGCCAAGATTACCGAGGAGAAGATATAGGCTCATAGTTAAAATTGAAATGTTTGATTGTGAAAGGATTGCTATTGCTAGCCACGACACTGCTTGTAAGAAAGCTGCAACAAGGAAAGAGCAAAAACTATTATGGAGAGGAAATAGAAATTCAATTATTTGAGAGGTCATATTCATTTAACAAACAATAAAATAGTATATTCATGTTTAACTGATTTACCATAATAACATGTTATTCAAATTTTAACAACAGTATCAGATGGTGCCAGTCAGTTTAACTGCAGGGTTAATCATCTATAATTGCACCAGGAACTTGCAATCACATCCTGTCTTCCCCATTTTCAGGGGTTTTTATCACCGAGGAGTATGTTGCCATAAAAGCATAACTACACAAGTATTCAATCTTAACATTCATATCAGGACCACAAGCTTCAGTTCAACCAAAATAATTCTACCCTTCACAGAAAGCTATCTTATCCTACACAATATCTCTAGTTGTTTGAAAGCAATTAGAAGCACAATAACATAATATACAACTAGGTTTAGTAGGTTTGTCAGTAAAAATATCTGTACTTTTTCATAAAAATAAGTACTTGGTACTTATCAACCAAAAGGAAAGAAAAATGGTGAAGCAATTGATTCTCACAAAGAAAAAGAACTTCCCATTTTTCAAAATTTATTTAAACCAAAAAAAAAAAGTATAAAGTTGAAGAATTGAATAAACTTCAGACCATTTTTCCCCCTAAAAATCACATTTTCCTGAACTAGCCTTTTTACACTAATAGATAGTTACACATGTTAATAAATTAATCCCGTACTGCTCCAGTGCCAATAAATATAAATTTATTATGTAAAAATCCCACACATGCCTAAAATCATAAAAAAAGGGCGATGGAGCGGGGAATAATAATCATTAAAACATTTCCCAGAATCAAACAGAGAGTGGCATTATCGTAAATGAAACACAAAACACCAACAATTAAAGAAGACCATAAAAAATTTAAAAAAAAATGTAAAAAGAATTACCACCGATGGCGATATAAGGAACACGGTGCTGGCCAGAGATATAAACGGCATCGGAAACGACACCGTAGAGGGGCTTCGCAACCATAGGGAGATTAGCAGAATTCTGAAGGATTTGAAGAGTAGAAGGGTCGACCTTAATGCTGTCTTTCAGAAAAAAGTTAACAGCCATCCACGGAAAACACCTGAATCCTTGGACCCAATACCCGACTCCCAGAAGGCTCCGGACCCGATTGGCCTTCCCTTTCGCGGGTCGCCTCCCATTTCCGTCCTTAGCTGACACCATAATAATAACGATAATAATGATTTTACAAAAAGAAAAGGTTAATTTATTTGTGAATTTTACTTTTCTCCTCCACGTTCTGGTTTAGATTTTGAAAAGGGTTATAAGCGGCGGAGACGACGGTGGCGATGGCGTTTTGTACGATCGTACTCTGTTGAAGGTGCATGAAAGTTTGTATATTTGTAACATTGGTTTGTCATTTATTCTAGAACAATCCTTGTTAAATAAGGTGAAAGGTGTTTTTTAATTAATTAAATCTTGCTTTCCTTTGAATTGGGACAGACTGACGGACTTCTTTCTTTCTTGCACTTTTTATCTTTTTCGCTTACTTTCACTAATTCTTGATTCTTGAATATATATATCTATATATCTATATATATATATAATATTTAAAATAAGTTTTATTTTCAATCTGAACTAAAAATCATTTATTACAATATACGAATTTCCATTTCTATTTTTCTTTTCACTCAATTTCCCCTTCTTGCTAAATATAAGGAAGTTGGAAACAACAAGAAAAGAATCACTAAAGGAAAATATGACTTTGATATTTACAAAAATATTCCGTATTCTTTTTTTATATATATTTTCATGTTTCTTCTTATCAATAGAGATAGGCAATGCTGCCTTGATCTGACGAGGAATATTCTTCTGCCTCCCTCTAAAAGAAGATTTGGAATAGAATATCCTAATTTGGTTGCACTTCTCTTAACTTTACTATTATTTTAGAATGAAAAGTTAAAATTTTTTCTCAACTTAATTATGTAGTAATCATATCATCTAATCTTTACATGTGAATTTTCTAATAGGCTTCCCAACCCTAATTTATGCCTTTAAAACATTACCATTTTATATTTTAATTCAATAATTGCCTTAGTTTAGTCATTTTTCACTTCATTAAA